TTGTACATGAACTTTTCATTATGGACGACCCCAATTTATTTTCTATACTTGCGTAAGAAAGAGCTTAAAGAATACTTTTATTAAGTGAGATTACCAACAAGATAGAAATATGTCCACCAGTTACTTGAAAGATATTTTGCCCCCGACAGTATTAAATATAAATTTTATACCATAATTAGGGCTATGTGATTAGTGGTATTTGTTAATTAATTATGGAGTATGCTCCATCCAGATGCCTTCCCTCTAGTCAGCAGTTCAAGAAAAAGAAATATTTGGTGGCATTTGCTGCCAGACTGTTGCCTTCTTTCTAGTCAGCAGTTTAAAATTAGTCCATTATGTAGCTTTGTGCTTAACAACAAGCAAACATAAAAGCAATAATTTGATTACTTGGATTAAATAATGTGACATTTGACAACTTGTATATCCAGCTCTGCCCTTGGTGAAAGTCTACAAATAAAAGTGAACTGTTAAGTCCATAATGACCTTTCTTTTTGAAGCTCTTGTAATGCACTTTAAATGTATTGTCTTAAAAGTTTTGTAGGTTATTTTAAGGAGACTGCACTCCTCCATTATTTTTCTCTTGAAAATGCAGAAAACACAAATTGGTTCAAAAATGAGCAAAATCTCGGCAATCTTCATTTTTGAAGAAAATTGTTGTACAATAATCGAAGTGGATTGGAAGTGAGGTGTAGTAGTCAAGTGGAGAAACTTGGCAGAATTGGTTGTGTCACTTCTTGTTCAAAGTAGTTCATTTTACAGTAGAGATGTAGTCAAGATTTCTACTATCTGAATTTGGTGCATTTAATGCATTAAATTTGATAATAATCTTGAATTTTGCTTCTACATCAAGAAGTTAGAAATATCCTAAAAATATTTTAATTATGAAATACTTCTCTAATTCAGGCTTAAGCGCTTATTCTAACCCTAGTATAAACCGGAAGTTAAAAGGTGTTAATTGGAAAAGAGTGAGAAACTTAAATAGCAGCAATATCTTTATTCTCTGCATTGTAGATGGATATTTTATTACTGTATATTTTGGTTATTATGGGAAACAAGCCAAAATGCTAAAAAAATTTAATCTTTGACATTTAGAATTTTGTTCAAACTCAACTATTTACAGTAGCTAGTGCAGTAACAATATAGAGGTTATTCTATAAAACGTTTTTAACTTTCAATATATGAGAAGGTTTAATATGAATTTGGTTTACTTTTGGACTACTTGCCTGGATTAGTCAACTCATTTAGAAGGAGATGTGTTCACAGACAGAGTTTTCGTGGTATGGCTTAATATGTATAGCTCATATGTAAAGAATGCCTGTATGCTGATTTTTATACTCGGCTCTGCCTCGCTTTACTTGCCAGATCTCTATAAATGGAAACCTTAATTTCAAATAATTTACTATTTTCTTGACAATCAATTTGATTTTGATTAATCGGTTAGTTTACGTCACATTAATCAACAAAATCATTACTCCCAGGTAATTGGTTAAATTTCTCAGCTATAGCCATAAAAAAGACAATCTTCAGTCCTCAAGATCATTTTGATAACCTTCTTCTGAAGAAATTTTGTAATTAATACTAGTTTTTATGTGATCTGAATGGTCATGTATCATCTTGCATTTTTCCAGAACTTTGGAATCATTCCTCTTACAAAATAACTGAAAGTGCAACTTATTGTGACTGCATAACGGGTTTTAAACTCCTTCAAATACCAATTTACTGAATCCATACAGCCAACAGAAAAATAGAACTTTATATTTATTAAGATGTTTCACATTTGATCTATTATAGAACTAATAAACACTACATCTAGCTCAATAAGGGAATAGTGTTTGATCAAAACAAAAAGCTTAAGAACATAAAATTATCCAAACAAAGGAATTACATTTACTAGCACAACCACATCATTTGGCAAACCATTCCAGAAATTAATAATCCCTGATGCAGTTAAAATTTTGACTAATAACTAGCCTGCCTGTACAAAACACTTAATATTTCTTTGATGTGAAGGATAGTCATCCCAAATTTTCATACTCTAAATACATCTTTCATTTATTAAAGCTGAAGTTTTCCATATTTTAGCCTACTCAGCATTGAAAGCTTATTGGAACTAACATGTTCTTTATCCTGCCGAAAGAGAGCAAGTGTTCTTTTTCTGTAATTGCACTTCAAATTGATGTACACAAGATAAACTTCCATATCAAACCTTGTCTCTTGTTATTTGCTGCTAAGCTAATCTATTTACGATATGTTGACTGTTATCTACCCAGTCAGTTACTTTTAAACAGCATGAAATCTTGAAAAGAGAATGCATGTAATTCAATGTGAAAAACTATGTAGAGGGGATTTTAGATCTTGTTTTATTAAGTATCGTCAGCTTGCCAGTGATAACTGTTGTGGCAAATGTTTGTTTAAATGTTTATCAACCCACATTTTGAGCTTAAACACTGACAAATCTGTTATGTATTTAGCTCCTTCTTAAAAAATCTCTTCAGTACACAGTTTACAAGAAGACTGTCAAACTGTAAGAAATAACATTCTGTGCTTTAGTTAATGAGTATGCATAATTTGTTAACGAAAACTTTGAAGAAGCTACCAGCCTCTGATTTTATTGAATTTGAAGGTGTTACTTGTATCGTACTGGTGGTAAATTTGTATTTGTTTTCTACTTCAACAGGACAGTGATAATCTTTGGTGGGATACATTTGCCACAGAATTTTTTGAAGATGATGCAACATTGACATTGACATTTTGTTTGGAAGATGGACCAAAGAGATATAGTATGTTTGTTGTAATTTTAAAATGTTTTTATCACTAATAGAACTGTGGATTTGTCTTGTAAATGTCCATGAGCATGCATTTAATGACTGTTTAAAAAAGTATCTAATAAATAGTCAAGTGTGTAATTCTAAACTAAATACAGTCAGCACTAATTTTCCAGTCTTAGAAACAAAGTATATCATATAAAATATTTCCTTTCAAATTATTCAGTCAGTTACAAGTTGTTAAATGCATTGTAAGAGTCGATTGAAATACTAAAAATGTGTAACTGCTAGAAGGCAAATCAGATGTTTTTAGAACATGACATTTTACTTTATCATGTAAAGACTGTAACATACTGTGCATGAAACAGTCCAATAATCTGTTATTTGGATTACATTGTTTTTTTTTAAGTAGTACACTGAAGTTGAAGGTTTATTATTTACATTGTTTAGGAGAATTCAAAGAAACATAACCTTAAAATCTCCCAAATTTTCAGTCAAATATAACTGATATAGTTGATTGTTAAGTGTACTGTAGACTAATAGATGACTTCAGTGTACCTATTTTCTTTTTTTTTTCACAAGTCTTTGATTTCCATTTTTAGAGCTTTTTTAACCTTTTTTGTACTTTGAAGATGAAGTGTTTGTTTTGTTTTCCAGCAATAGGCAGAACCTTAATTCCACGATACTTCCGAAGTATATTTGAAGGAGGAGTAACTGATTTATATTTTAATCTGAAGCATCCTAAGGAGTCCTTCCACAATACAACCATTACCTTAGACTGTGATCAGTGTTCCATGGTTGCTCATCATGGGAAGCCCATGTACAACAAAGTAAGTGTGGGGTCGTCCATAATGAGAAGTTCAAGTACAACAAAGTAAGTATGGGGTCGTCCATAATGGGAAGTTCATGTACAACAAAGTAAGTGTGGGGTCGTCCATAATGAAAAGTTCATGTACAACAAAGTAAGTACCTACCAATTAATATTACTGTGTAGTAAATATTTTCTTTATAAACTATACATTAAATGTTTTTCATTCTGTATTTCAGTACTATTCCTGTTTAGTGATAGTTGTGTTGGTATTTATAGTAGTTCATAACACATCAAGCTGTTAACTGTTTTGTGAGAGGGACACAAATAGTATCAAATCCTTGGTAAATATTATTAGTATTATGTTTACATTACATGCCATTTCCTCAGTTATTTAGTGGACTGTCTTTTGAGTATATTTATTTATAATGCCAGCACATCCCTCACATTATTCTCACAGGGAGAGAAAATTACTAATGCTGGGTGGCACTGAGGGCTTTGTCATTGTAACTATGGACATATGTAAATCAGTGTACCACAATGGAAATACTTCAGGTTGAATAGATGTTTTGTAAATAGTCAATAACTGTCCTGTGTAAACTTGTAATCTTATCAAATAAAAGAAAGCTGAGGGCTGATAAGCCAGACACTCGACAATGTGGAGTTTTAGATTGGATACTGGTGGAAATTCAAAGCTTACAGGTTTTATTCTGTGATTATTTATGAAGTTTTTTTTTATGGTTCTTTTTCCTAACTTCTCATATAGAGTTTATATAGTTAGTTAAAATTTGGAGTTCAGCTGTGTTCTTTCTAAAAGTATAGGCCTATAATTTGTGAATTGGAAATACAATCTATTTATCTTATAAAAAATAAAAAATGTTTTTTTGTTTGTTTTTTAAATGATTCCTGATTACAGTTAGTGTAGAATAAAAAAATTGTTACAATGTATTTCTAAATTTTGTACATCTCAAACATCTGGATAACCTCCTCATGCAAAGTTACACATTCTTTCTAAGCCTCTGGTGTCTTCCCCCATACACTGGCAGACACACAAGAGCTTTTGTTTCACTATGTGTAAACGCTACCTTCCAGGGAACTCCCACTGAGAGACTTACTAATGCATACACAAGCTTTGAAAGTTACATAAATCATATACATTCTTTAGGTCTGGAAACATTCAAACCAATCTAAAAATACTGAATAATTAATTATATGTAGTGTTGTGGTTTTTAATGTTACTTAATAGGTGTTTTTTTTTTTTCAGTAAATGTAAGGACAGGAATATATCTTGGGATTCTACATAACTTGACATTAAGGACTATATAAATAGTTATGATATCTTAATCATAGTTCTATAACATTAGGACTTAATTCAGGATTTTACAACAAAACTTTTCATTCTTACTCTTGTGTAGGTTAGTAACATTAGCAATTAATACAAGATATTAGAAAATGGCTGTTAGGACCTCTTGTGTAGATATACCTGTGTAAACTAGGAATTAATTCATGATTTTACAACAAGACTGTTGAATTCCAAGTACCTTCCACAGGAGCAAATCCAGTAAACATAATTGAAAAATAAATGATTT